AAAGAAAGAAAGAAAGAAAGAAAGAAAGAAAGAAAGAAAGAAAGAAAAGAGAGAAGTTTCCTAGGTCAGATAACCAGAAATTCTGACTTAGTAGGTCTGGAAGGGAACTCAGAAATCTTCATTTTAAACAATGATACTGATATCCCCTAGTAAGTATCCAATAAGAAACCAAAGCCTGGAGAAATGAACTTTCCCCTGAATTCCAAAGGCAGCCTCTGCTGGGGACAGTCACTCCAGGTAGACATAACTCCCTAGAGTCATGTTTCAGTCAGAAATCAGCCCAATCATAAATAACCCCAGATTGCTGAAATGGTAACCCCAACTTGACGTTAAGCACAGTTCATTAGGGTGGGAAAAACTGTTTCTTACTAAGTGTCTTGCCACACTCCACGAAGTTTAGAATTGAAAAGAGATGAAAAGCAAATCAAACTCACTTATTAATGCTCCTGTCCTATGTTTAATAATCATCAGTGTATACTTGTTATTTAAAAGCATCTGTAGGGCAGCGCCTGTGACTCAAAGGAGTGGGGCACTAGGCCCATATACCGCAGGTGGTGAGTTCAAACCCAGCCTCAGCCAAAAAAAAAAAAAAAAAAAAAAAGCCGGCTCAGCACCTGTGGCTCAAGTGGCTAAGGCGCCAGCCACATACACCTGAACTGGTGTGTTCAAATCCAGCCCAGGGGCCTGCCAAACAACGACAGTGGCAACCAAAAAATAGCCAGGCGTTGTGATGGGCGCCTGTAGTCCCAGCTACTTGGGAGACGGAGGCAAGAGAATCCTTAAGCCTAGGAGTTGGAGGTTGCTGTGAGCTATGATGCCATAGCACTCTACCCAGGGCGACAGCTTGAGGCTCTGTCTCAAGAAAAAAATAATAATAAAAAAATAAAGGCTCGGCGCGTATAGCTCAACTGGCTAAGGTGCCAGCCATGTACACCTAAGGTGGCGGGTTCGAATCCCCAGCCCAGACTCGCATAACAACAATGACGGCTGCAACCAAAAAATAGCCGGGTGTTGTGGCGGGGGCCTATAGTCCCAGCTACTTGGGAGGCTGAGGCAGGAGACTCGCTTGAGCCCAGGAGTTGGAGGTTGCTGTGAGCTGTGATGCCATAGCACTCTAC